ACACAGAGGCAAGAATTATCAAATCCCGATTCCACCCCAAAAGCGGAAGGGACAAAAAAAATAGTGTGCACCATCTCCGACGAGTAAGCCAAAACAAAAGTAAACATTGCGTGCCAGGTCTCCCAGCATAGTGTGAACACATCGGTCTCGTTAGAGCCCACTTGCACTTAAACCACCCAGTGCACTCAGTTGTTCTGCTCCAACGCCTTGGGGTCTTGGCCGACCAGACGGAAACGGTTGGCGTCTCCAGGCAACAACAACAACAACAACAACAACAACAACCACCACCTACGATGGAACAGAGGGAGAAAACAGCTTCCAGATCAGCGGAACAAGAAGGCAAGAACTAAAATACAGAATAAGCTACACCACGCAACAGACGCTGCAGCCTGCAGGCAAAGCAACATGTAAGGAACAAAGAAAAAAGAAAGCGGAAGCTGCGGCCGCACCTCATTATCAGTTTGAAATAGGCAGAACACACGCATTGGCCCAAGTTTCAAAAGGCTAAAAAAAATGATGCACGGCAGGTATATCACGGCCGTAGTTTGTTATTGGCAAAAAAGGTACAAAAGGCCTGTCCCAGGTCAGGCACAGAGAAGCACGGAGCAGGCACTGTAGACACCACTGACCCCTGTAGCATCCAACTGGCTTTTCCCATATGCATCTGACAGCAATAGCAGCTGGGTACATCCGGGGACAGCTGGTGCATGAGCAAGCCCGTAGTGGTTGAGGGCCTGCTCGCCGTATGATGTACCTTTCTGGGCCTTTTGGCTAAGATCAAGCGTAGAATCTGATCCGTGGTCCATCTGACCACATTACAATGAAGGGAAAAACAAAAAAGAATTTAAAAGCGCACGTGTGAGGGGGCTAGCTGGTAGGATTGGAATAGGGTATAGCAGCAGTAGAGATGGTGGCTCTGATGCAGTAAGTCTTGCCGGAGTGAGGAACAGAGGATTGATGGGGGGGGGGGGTTCGAGTCGGATTTTGAATCCTGCTGATTCTTGAAGCCTGTTGTAGTCATTTCCTAAGTAGCTCCAACTTTTTGAGCCAAAAAAGAACGAGGGGGAGTGGGGAAGGAGATGGTGGGATATCACGTGTCCTACTAGTGAGGGGGCTAGCTGGTAGGATGGGAATAGGGCACAGCAGCAGCGGAGATGGTGGCTCTGCTGCCGTAAGTCTTGCCGGAGTGAGGTAAAGAGGAAGGATGGGGGGGGTTTCTGAGTAGTTTTCTGAATTCTGTTCATATTCTGAAGCTTGTCGTGGTCATTTTCTAAGTAGCTTCGTTTTTTTCTGAGCCAAAGCCGGGTAATGGCCCTGGTATCTCAAATGACTTGTGTAACTCTATATGGGACGCTGGGCCCGGTTCCCAGCACGTGCTGCTCCCCACGAATAGATTGGAGCTTTTGTCCCAAAAAAAAAAAGGGTGCATCCAAGCTTCTATTCATTGAACTACTTCCCACCAACCATCAGATCCGTTAAAGTAGACTCTATGGCGGGGAGCTAAAACGCTCCCCGTGCCCCGCTGGGGACAACAACCATTGACAGAACTGCAGNTTCCCATTAAAAAAAAAAAAAAAAAAAAAAAAAAAAAGGTTTTCCGTGAGAATCCAGCGGCCTTGCTCAATTGGTTAGGCACGCAAGTGGCATTCAGGAGGTCGTGGGTTCAATCCCCAGGGCCGCCTGTAGCACTCTTGGTGCCAACCAACTGAGATAGTCAGCTGGATCCTACCAGTCGGTATCGGTAAGGTCTTCAGCCAACACCGGTGTGAGTGCGCGTGTGAGTGGGTTGTGTGTGGTGTGTGGGAGAGTGTTGGCGTTAGACATTACTTGTTACTGTATGGGGGTGGGGGAAGATGAAAAGGGGGGCACCGTTACTGGGAGATGCTCGGTCCTTTGTGTTAGCCGGGCCCCGACCCGGCAGCCCCAACCCTGCACCCTAAACGCTAGGGCAAAGGGGCAATTACGGTCCCTGCGTTAGCCGGCCCCCCCAATCCTGCACACATTCTGCACAGTTAGGCAGAATGTGTGCAGGATTGGGACGGCCGGTGGGGGAAGGATGAAAAGGGAGGCACCGTTATTGGCAAATTCTCCGTCCTTGTGCTAGCCAGGCCCCCACCGGCTGCCCCAATCCTGCACATATTCTGCCAGCCCAGCAATTACGGGCAGTAGTGAAAATGCCCTGCCAGCGAGGCTGGGCATGTAAGGAATGAAACAAAGAAGGGAACAAAGTATCTTTGATGCACGTGGTCCACTACGTACGGCAGATGCACTCAAGCAGAGCCCCGGTCTGAGTATGCCCTAAGATGCTGGCCTACTGCTGTGCTAAGTGTTGCTGAAAGCTGCACCGCTGGATGTAGGATCCAACGGGCGACAAATTCGACATAGTTGTAGAGGCATCTGAAGTGCCAGGAGCTTTGTGGACCGGCCCGGTACCTGGGAAGGAACCGGTCCACAACTGTCTAATAATACAAGCACCCCCCTGTCTCAAGCGCGGGCCTGAGTTCTAATTTCCTTTTAGAACTCAGGCGGCGACAGACCTGCCGAAGCATGTTATTTTTGCTTATTTGAAACTCTTACCTGTGACTGAGGAGCCTTGCCCCCAAAACAAAATACCCAGCAGCAGCAGCAGTAGCAGAAGCAGAGCAAAACGATGACGAGGATAAAGACGAAGAAATGGAAGAAGAGGGAGATAAAAGTGGAAGAGCAAAAGCAGAGGAAAGTAGACGATCCACCACTTCTCATTTCCGCCGAGGGGAAGAGCTAAGGGGGGGCGGGGGAGGAGGAGGAGCTAGATTGGGATTACTTCTTTGGGAAGAGCTGGGGGGGAGAGGGGTGGATGAGGAGTTACATTGGGGTTACTTCTTTACCTGTCCGAAGTTCTCCAGAGCATCTTCCAGTTTGCTTGGGTCCACCTTGATAGCGCGCACTGTGAGGCTGTAGAAAGTGATATCTCCCACCCGTTCCAAAATCTTCTCGTTGTTGACGGTGATGAGCGAATGGTTGACGACTCCCCATGCCCCCAGTCCGACCTCACTCATCAATTGGCCGAAATCCTTCACATAGAGTGCTCCTGACAAGCACTCGCCGAACAAGACCTTGTCGTCTCGCAGGTGCTTCGGAATCCGCCTGTCTGCAAACACATCAGAGAAGTAGAGTTCTCCGCCCGGCTTCAGAATGCGAGCGATCTCTGAAAGAACAGGCCTTTTGTCCGGCGCTAAGTTGATGACACAGTTGGAGATTACCACGTCCACCGATCTGCAAAGAGACAGCAAGGATCAGACAAAACAGAAAAAGAAAGAAAGAAAACAGTTCAAAACACAGATATCCCTCCATTGTGAGGTAGCTATGCTTGCAGATGTCCCTTCTATCTAACCTTCGGAGTTACCGTAGTGATAGGTAGGTAGGGAAAGGCCAAAAAGAATTTGAGAGAAGAATATAGTGTAGTTTGAAAAAAAAAAAAAAAAAAAAAAAAAGGGGAAACTACGCGGGAGTCACAAAAATGAGTTATAATTGCACTATGGGCCAAGATACAGTTTGGAATTGCAGTTCGGGCAATGCATACAACCCAGCTTTCCGGCCAGGTAGGGTGCCCGAAGTGCAATTGCAAACTGCATCTTTTTTTTTTTTTTTTTTTTTTTTTTGCAAACTGTATCTTGCCCCATAGTGCAATTATAACTCGTTTTTGTGACTGTACTGAAGTTAAGATCCCCCAAAAAAAAGATAACTATTGACTAGGGCGCAGTCAGGGTTTCAAGTTCCAAGTGCAGTCTACTGAGTCTAGGCAAAAGACCCAAAAATGTTGAACGTATACAAGCCACGATTCGGGTCCGGTGGGGTCATCACGTGGGGGGGGTGTTATGTTCGGGGGGAATGACTGAAGCGCATTTAAAACTCGAAATCCTGACTGCGCCATAGTTACCTCAACAAGAAAATATCCCTCCCCCCCAAACATAGGGCCTCGCCACACCACTGTCCAAAACACGATTTTTGATAGTTCCTCTTGGCCGCACAGGCTGTCAAAATTGGAGACGGGTAGAAAATTTGCAGCAGCTTGTCAGAGACAGAGAATGCTTCTCGACACCTGCTCCTGTCGAAAGTTGTTGAATCCCCTTAGAGCCTGCTACTCCGATGCAATGCATTCGACAGTCCTCGGCTGCGCCATCTACTTCTCTTTGAAATTTGGTGTTGTCGGATCCCCAGCCTCCTGCTACTCCGATGCAATGCTTTCGACAGTCCTCGGCTGCGCCATCGGCTTCTCTTCGAAATTTGGTGAGTGGGCGTGAGGTCGGGACGGACTAATGTTTGTCGTACCCTCAGGCGCATTCGTCTTTTTCCCATCTTGCATTTGTTACAAGTGCGTCCATTCTACAGTGCTGTGTGGCTAAAGGGGTGCAAACTGTAGAAGCGAGGCTGTCAAATTTATTCTGACAGCCGTCGAATCTTTTTGCCTTTCGACAGCGGTGACACTGTGGCGAGCCCCATACACATACACGAACACACCCTGATGAGTCGGTGAAAGCCCGAAGAAACAGTCTGGCACAGTCATACTTTTTTCTTTTGTGTGTGTGGATTTATGTATAGCGAAGCTAAGCGAACATGACAACAGCGAACTGACAACACACACACACACACACACACACACACACACACACACACACACACACACACACACACCGATGATTTTCTTTTTGTTTTTTACAAATCCATTATAAGCTGGGGACCGGTCCCAGCAGCTTCCATTACATCACACACTGCAGTCGGTAAGCTGAGCAAGGCACTCCGGCCAGGCTTAACTCTAACTGCAGTTCACTGTAAATCAAAAGCAAAGTTTATGCTGGCCCAAAAGCAAGCAACTTGTAATGCCAATGAAAAGGATTAAACCACCAGCAAGTTTCCCAGCTGTTTTTTCAGAGGGGCAAATCGCAAATATGCGCATTCAGAGAAGTATCGTAGCAAAAATACCCGTCTGCCCACGTATCGCATCAAATATCATAATGCCGGTAGAGTGGCAGAAATACCGTTTTTCAAGAGTTTATAAGCAGATTTACCTGGCAGTTCTTTCGCGGCGGCAAATACACCGGGGGCACCTTCTTTTGCATCAGAGGACCCGCCTGCCTTGGAGTGCTTGCCTCAGACTAGGCGAATGGGGTCTCTGTCACGAAAGGAGGTATCCCCGGTGAATCTGCTTCAAAACTTCGCGAAAACGGTATTTCTGCAACTTCCGAGGTGTATTTGTGGCCATACAGGAAACGGTATTTATGCAAGGGGCGGACCGGTATGCTTGTTACGGTACTACTCCAAACCGGTATTTCTGCAATTTGCCCTTTTCAGAGTCATGGCGTGCATGCACGCAGCCACGACTCTGGGGAAGTGTCGGGGTGCTGTTTGGCTGGATATCCATCCAGGCAAAATGGGACTAGCATGGCCTGCATGGATATCCAGCAAAACAGTGCCCCAGTACTTCCCGAGAGTCGCAGCTGCATGCACTCTGCGACTCTGAAAACATAGCTAGGAAACATACTGGGGTTTAAACCACCAGTACACGGGCTTTAAACCACCAGTACTTGGCCCGTATGTCGGCCGCAGGGCGTTGTCGTGAATGCCCTGCAAGTTTCGGCGCCCCGCAAGTTTCGGAGGCCCGGGGTACCGGACCTGAAAGGCTGACGCCGCCAGCCAATACAATTTTTTTTTTGTTTCGCTGGCGGGTCGGCGCGAATCGGCGCGCAGGGCATATTCAGGCTAGGTATCGATAGCTGGGCCAAGTACTCGTGGTTCGAGCCGCCAGGGTTAAAAATCCGGCATTTGGACATCCAGCCTCCACAGCCCTCTCACTCGAAAAGAGCTATATGGCTAGGGCAGTTTTTTTGTGGAAAGACCAATGCCGAAACCAGCCTGACAGTCCTTCGGGACATCCGTTAAAATTGGAACAATACAGAGAAGATTAGCATGGCCCCGGCGCAAGGATTAAAAAAAAAAATAAAAAAAAAAAAAATAAAAAAAAAAAAAAATGGCCTGACAAATGTTGAAAATGAACCAGCATCCAGCGGGCTAGCTCAGTTGGTAAGGCGCGCAAGTGGCATTCAGGAGGTCTTGGGTTCAATCCCCATTGGCCTCATGTACCTTCCTGGGCAAGCTTGGCGCCCGCCACCTACAGATATGCCGTTGGTCGCCCCAAGTGGTATTGAGCAGAGACTGCTGATGTTCATAGGGGGAGGGGACCGGAGGGGAGGCACAGTGACTGGCCCATTGAAGAAGCTCGGTCCTGATGCTGCCAACTGACCCCTGGCCGGTATCGCCCACCTGCTGTAGCAGGTATTGCACCTGCTGGTGGGTGCAGCTCCCGCATGTTCCCTCGTTGGAGGCTTGAGCACGGATATGGTTGCTACAGGGTTCCCCGTAATACTATAATGACAATAAAAAAGGCCTGAAAGGCCGTCCTGTCCAGATTTGACAGGTAATTGAATTGGTTGGGCGTAAAGAATTAGCCTTTTTAAATGAACAAGTTTTGACAGTAGTGTGGCGGAGGCCCACATTCTTTGCACCACGTATGAAAGGGGGATATGGGCCTCGCCACACCACTGTCAAAGACGCATGTTCACGCAGGGAGATGCCACATGCATGCGTTACTATTCATAGTAACGGTTGCATCTTACCGCTTTCTGAGGAAGATGCACTCATACTTTTTTCTTTTCGACATTGGTATTGCTAGGCCCTGTGGGCCCAACATGGCTAACAAAAATTAGGTCCCTTTTTTTACTGGGAGCCAATCCCTTTTCCTCCCAATTCCTCTCCTGCCCCTTTCCTCGCTTCCCATCCCCCAAATAGGACTTCGAAAAAAAGAAAGAAAGCACTCTTACTCGTCTGCCACGTCAGCCGCCTTCAGATCTTCGATGAAAGCCTTCTTCAGCACAACGTTGGACTTTGCATAACCGAATTTCTCTCGCTGCCACTCTTCTACCTCGCGCGCCACCGCCAGCTGCTCGTCCGTCATGTCTATTCCAATCACTCTCCCTTTCTCGCCCACCAGCTGCGCCGACAGGTACACATCTGTCCCGGTCCCACAGCCCAGGTCTAGAACAGTCAATCCGTCCAACAGAGGAGGAATGGGCGACCCACACCCGTAAAAGCGTTCCAGAACCTTCGGATGGATGTTCCACATCAATTTGCTGATT